TGGCAGCACAGGTACCTTGGCAACAGCGCTCATCCTAAAAGTGATGCCTCAAAAGCCTCATCCAGATATCCTAGTCGAGGCTTGATGACTTCATGCATCAAGTGTAAATACATAGAAAAGATTCCCCCGATAATGACTGTGTACTTGAACTTGATAATACTGATAAAGATGCTATCTCTTTCGTGTAATCAGCCACATTGGAAAAAAAACCAAAACATGAGTCCTAGAATTGATCGCAGGCCACATCATCCCACTGCTCAAGCGAATGTTGCTGAGCAAAAGCACAAGTGTCGGAACTTGACAAAGGTTTGCGAGGCAGTGCGGCCCAACTCCCTGGACTGGCCAGGCCCTCTGTTTCTCTGAGATCAGCTCAGCCAAACTCTCAGGGCAGGACTTGGCAGCAGCTGAGCTTTCCGTCAGGCTTCACAGCTTGTGTTGTTGCTCCAGGCTACACAGTGAGTTCATGGAATGAAGTTGCCGTCCAGCTCCGTGTCTCACCTTGGCCCTTTTTCATCACACGCAGCACCAGCGGCTCTAACCGAGTGTGTTTGTTTCTGTGTTTAATGCCTGCCCCACCACGAGAATATAAGCCCCAGAACAGCAGGTCCTTTTCATCTCGTTGGCCCTGTGTCCAGAGCATAGGCTGTCGTAGGAGTTCAAGAAGTCGCCGGTGAGTGGAAGAGCAGAGGCAAGAGCTCCACAGGTGTATGCTTCCATGAAAGAGTTGAGAAGGCAAAGGAAGAGAGTTGCGTTTCATGGAGCGCCTATTTGCAGTGATGTTGTTGTTAGCTGCTGTGGGGTTGACCCTCAGCCCATACCCAACTCACAGTGACCCTCTGACACCAGAGCTGAACACGCCTGTCATCCACCGGCCTCGTGATTGGTTTTCTTTGATGCATGTTTTGGAAGTAGACCTTTCTTACTAGCCCAGCTTGGCTGGAAGCACCATGGAAAGCTGCACAGCATCATTGCTGTATGCAAGCCTCCATTGACGGATGGTGATTGCCGCACATGCGATTCATTGGCTGGGATATGAATTTGGGTATCCTACAGGGAAGGCAACAATCTGTCACTGGATCACCATTGCCTCGTTGTTTTGGTTTTTTTGTTTGTTTAACCATCAACATACACACACACACAATTTTTTTCTCAGCCTACGCTGACAACAAAAAGGAAAGCTCCACTATTCCTATTTAATCATGAAGAAAGTGGAGCTCAGAAGGCTTAGTAAATTGGACCTGTCTGACTCAAAGATCATGTTCATACTGAAAACAGATTCACTACCATCTAGCTGATTCTGACTCCTAGAGACCCTAAGGACAGAATGGAACTGGCCCTGTGGGTTTCCAAGACTGTAATTCTTTATGGGACCAGAAAGCCCCCTTTTTATCCCTTAGAGAAACTACAAACTACAGACCTTGCAATTAGCAGCCCAAGGTGTAACCACTGCGCCATTAGGCTTCATTGGTGCAATATGTTCTTGAGTTTCCTGACTGCTGCTTCCATGAGCATTGATTGTGGATCAAAGTGGTTTACCTTGAAGAATGTTATCAGTTTAAGTGTTAGTTACTGTTCACATTATTAGTAGTCATCGTAATAGACACTTCTCTTGCAATGGAAACACTGTGATTGCGTGCTGCATAGTTGCTCCCATTTAGAGGTCAGCTAGGGGGCCAGGAGTCGTAGATTGACTTCACACGAGTCTTCCATTGGCCTGTGCTGAGACTCAGATTTGCCATCCCTATGTGCAGAGCAGCTACTTCTCTCAGCTACCTCTCTGAAGCCTGCACTTAGTCAGCAAAGGGAACGTGACTTGAGAGAGTGGACAGGTTAGGTTAAACCCACCATCAGTTTCCAATAAATAACTTAATGCTCGTGGCAATTTAATCATTTAGTGATGCTCTTTACATTTTTCTGGGCAATTCTGTGGGTGTATTCCCTTTCTTTCATACCTAGGAGAGAAGCAGGGAGCTCAGTCTGATTTCCCTCCATTTTGGCACTTACTGGTACCTCAGTAGCTTCAACTGTGAAAGACAGTAATAGGTGTTCACAATTCATTAGGTTCTCAGGAAGATTAATAAGCTAACGTGGAGTGCCTAGTGGAGTGATAATATTTGGTTTTAGTAACTGTAATGAAGCTCATGTTTTCTTCCTCATTTTATTGCTTAAATGCTTTTAAAGGAACTATCCCTCATTGGGCACCCACTAAAGGCAAGGCACTTTGACATATCTTAATCCAATTAATGTTTTCATATGACTCAAGAGACTTGCTCAGGGTCACACAGCTGGTAGAGCTGAGACAAGAGTCTAGGCTCCTGCTTTCTGATCTTCTGCTTTGCCTAGAAAACCAACCTGCCCCTCACCTACCACTTGACAATCCTAGGACTGGTGAGGTTTCTACAAGCTTCAGGGCAAGCAGCTAATTTTTTTAAGAAGTTATATTATTGACATTTTGTCTAGTGTTTACGATTGTTTAAAACAATGCCCAGAACATGTAAGTTTGATTCAATGATAGTAACATTCAGCTTTATGGAAGAGCATCAGTTAGTGAAACTTCTGACATGGAATCATTGGGGTTTGTATCATTGTCTTCTTCCAGTTCAGTTAGAAACCTTGCGTTTGGAGGCCAGTTCTCAGCTTGTTTCCATCATGTTGCACAGATGCAAAGGTCTAGGTCATTGGCTCTCAAACTTAAATGCACACTAGAGGGGGGACCTGTGAAGCCACAGAGTCCCTAAGAGTGACAGAGTCATCAATAGGTGGAGGAGGTACCTGAGAATTTGCATCTCTTTTTCACATGATAACGATTTTCTCCACGTGATACCGATTTCATCAATCTGTGCCCTAGACCAGTGGTCAGCAACTTTTGTCTGTAAAGGGCCAGATATAAACATTTTAGTCTGCATGGCCACTAAGGCCTCTGTTATAACTACCTAGCCTTAACCATTTAGATACTTTAAGTGACTAAGCGGGCTCGGTTCCAAATACCCTATCTTTATGACCACTGAAATTTGAATTTGCTCTACTGTGCGTTTGAATTCTGGTATTGGTGAGGCATGTTGAAAGAATCGTGGGCTGTCAGAAGGATTAGCAGGCCTGTTTGGAAGAGGTACAGAGTGGTGCTTGGAAGTGAGGATGGCGAGACTTCACCTCACGCACTTTAGGCAGATGGTCAGCAAAGGTCGAGTAGAAGGCCAGCGACAAAGAAGAAGATTGTCAAGGACATGGATCGACACAGTGGCCACAGCACTGGGCTCACACATGACAGCCAACGCGTCGATGGTGCAGGAGCGGCGGCGTTCCCTTCTATTGCACACAGGGCTGTCAGGAGGCCCAACAGACATCTTCTAAACCAGGCGTCCTCAAACTACGGCCTGCCGAGGACATCTATCTGGCACGCCGGGTGTTTTTGCCCTGTTTGTGTTTTACTTCAAAATAAGATATGTGCAGTGTGCATAGGAATTTGTTCATAGTCTTTGCTTTTTTAACTATAATCCGGCCCTCCAACGGGTCTGAGGGACAGTGAACTGGCCCCTTGTTTAAAAAGTTTGAGGGCCCCTGTTCGAAACTACTGTTTTGATTTTTGTCAACTCTAAAAATGTGAAAACCATTTTTCGTTTGGGAGCCGTACACTGACAGGCAGCAGGCTAGATTCGACCTTTGGGCGACAGTTGGCGGGCCCCATCATTCAACAATCAGCCTTCAAAATGTTCTGCCCTGCAGTGAGGTCCTGTTGGGAAATGTTTTAGCTGTTGTTCTAATTATAAAAGGGTATGCAAGTGGCTGCTTTTTGTTCGTTTTTGTTTTTAAGTCTAGCGTGTAAGAGAAAATTAAATTAATTAGGAAATCTCCCTTCCAACACCTAGCCTGAATGCCGACTCCCAAAGTAACTCCAGTCAGTCAGTACTGGTCTGGGGAAACCGCCTCGGCATGTACAAGCTTAGCTCGACGTAGGGACATTTTTATATTAGCATGCTTATTTATGCAGATTGCTTAACACTTTCCCTCCCAGCAGTAGATTGTGACTTCTTTCCAATCGGTACATAGCGGTGATTTAGCTGACTCTTTTATAAAGAATATTATTATCTGCTTTGTAGCTATGCTGAAATTCATTTCAGTGGTTCCCTATTGAGGGACATTTGGGTGGTCCCCCATGTCCTTTTTTCCTTTCTTTACCAGAAGCAGTCTGGTTGTAGGTACGTCTCCGCACATTCATGACTGGACCACGTCCATGACAGTACCCATGAGATGGAACTAAAAGATGAACGGCTGCACCCAACAGGACGTGCGTTTAAAATGTTGATGCTATTCCTTAGTCTCGGTGTGGGAACTTTGGGAGCCCCACTCCTTTTCTGTGGGGTTACGTTCTACGTTTTTGCTCGTTATGTGACTTGAGCATTCATCACAAGGAGTTTCACTGTAATGCTCCACTGCACACGAACTGAACACAGAGTGGTAATCCTGGGCAGGGCAAAAAGTGAAGCTGGCAATTTGTCCCTGTTTTTTGAAAGGACAGCAGCTTCAAAATGTGTAAAGCCATCGAAGCCGTGCCCTGAGTCCAGGGTCATCTGGGACGTGGCCGCTCAGGTGCCACAGAAGAGCTTGCGTTGTTGTTCTTACAGACCTGGTGCATAGCACACGTTTCCACATGCTCCTCCCATCAGAGTTGCGTTCTCCATTGCCAAGCGTGTCTGTAAACATGGTATTAACTGATAAAGAAGCTGTGCCAAGATTGGAGTAGAAATCAGAACACCACTTCTTACCTTCTTATTTGGGGCTTTTCTTTTAGGATCCAATGAAGGATTTGAATAATGACTTAATAATACAGCCTCTTAAAGTATAACACTGTGTTAGGTTTGGGGGTTGTTGGGGGTTTTTTAACGTAAAATACATCTCTCTCTGCTCGCAGGTGGTCACAGAATTTTCTCCTCACCACTCAATCACATCTGCTCACACAAGCAGTCAGGCAGTCAGCAAAGACGAAGTTTCTTCTTCCGGAGACAAAAAGAGATTTCACACAGCATCGTTTTGCCGGCTGCAGTCTCTCCAGCGCACCCAGTCCCTGAGGTACTGTGTCACCTCTTCTCTGCCCCTTTTCCAGCCACGAGAAAGCAGACAGCAGAAGCGGTCAAATGGGCTTGCACTTGTGATTTCTAGGGCATTCAGATCATATTTTTTTAAACTCAGTTTGTTATTTAAAACACAAACACCTGGTGTGTGTGAGAAGTTTTCACATCCTATGATTCTGTAAGATTATTTCTTGAAAAAAGGAAAAATGCAGCTCTTGAGCTTATAACTACTTAGCTTATTTAGAATGAAAATTTCTACCATGAACTTTTCAATAAGAAATTTTCAGCACACAGATAAAGTTACCCCCATGTAGCTTACTAACTTTTTTAGAGAAGCAAAATTCAACTGTAAAATTAAGATTTTTTTTCGAGAATGATACTTGGAAGTAATACACTAGGTATTTTCCCTAAAGCCTACTCTTATAGTTTCCATGTTAATGATGGTGTTGGCCTTGAATCACTAAGTAGAACAAATTATATATTTCAACACATTCTTGATTGTTTTCCCTATAGAAAGGCAATCTATTTTCAAAATGCAATATAAGGGAAGTATGTGAATCATTTGGGGAAGAACAAGAGAAGCTTTAAGAAATATACATTTGTCGCAAAGGTCACTTGTTTTCCCCTTTTTAAGCTGTTTAAGCTTTTTAAATTTTCTCACAGTGAGCCCACATTAAGTATTTCATAGAGGCATGCAGTCCCCTGGTTATGACCATCCAACTTACGTACAATCTGCAGTGATGACCAACCCCAGAAAGCCTATTCAGTGCAAAATTTGAAGTACGTACAATGGCTTGCAGTAACAAGCCGGTACTTCTTTGTGATGTGCATCAAAAAATGATTTCATTATTACTGTATTAGTATGTTAGAGATGTTTTCTTGTTTAATTTTTAATACATAGATAGGTACACTATATGCTATATACTAAGACAAACATTTGGCTAACTGATATTCCATACACACCTGTTTCTACTTATGTACAAGTTGGAGTAAAGGCAGATTTAAGAACAGAACTTGCCCATAATTGGGGACTGCCTCTGCTCCCCAGAGGTAAGGGCATGTTTTTCTGGCGATAGCCCCCAAGCAGAAGGGCTGTCTAAGCCCAGAGGACAGTCCTGCTTGGTCCAGCCAGCAGAGCCAGGACCAGCACTTGGTATCACTCACAACACTGAACATTAGTTTCTTAGTGGAAAAGGAGAAGGCATCTCCGAGAGGTGACGAAGTATGGTTTTAGCATTTCAGTGTGGACCCAGCAGCACTTCTACCAGTGGCTGTAGCCTTGTGAGCCCACCGAGCAGAGACAATCTCGCAGCCTCTCTGGGGGAAGGCCTGATAAGAACTGAGTGAAGCTGCCAACAAGTCAGTTGGTGCCATCCACAGCTGCGCTTCCAGGAGCCAGCCTATGGTGGCACTTTTGTGGTAAAAGGCCCATCTGAACAGGGACTAAGCTAAGGCCCTCAAATTGTGCACCCTAACCTCGGGCTTTCCAGGGTTCCTGTAGTGTCCCAACTGAGTAGTGTTATCTCCCTCAGCTCCCTGTGCAAAGTACAGCGTAGCTTGACTGTGGAGGATTCGACCGTTCTTATGTAGGTAGCTGTTTTTGTAAATTGTTTGTGAAGAGCTATGCAAAGCCTTGAGACTAAAAGTTCTGTGTGTATTATTTATTTTCTGGGTTCTGCTCATAGAATTAAGTAAGTAGTATGGAGTGCTATACCAGGGTGGTCAAAGTTTAATGTTTTGGGATCCCCAGGGGGTGGTGGGTGGTATTGTTTTGTTTTGGGTACATGATAGAACTGCTCTAAGTAGTTTTTTTAATACTTGAAGAAAAAAGGGGGGGGTTCATTTTTATTTTGCCCCACCAACACACAGACACACATATACATGTAACACATGCACTCCCTAAGTCTGGTGTGTTCCCAAGTATAAGCAACGTGTATGTGTAATAACCTTCAAGGAGCTTGACAGTCAGACTTTTATATATATATATATATATTCCTTCAGAAAGGGTGCTGTGCACTGTCTTTTGCATAAATTTTCTTTGTGGTAAGAAGATGAAAGCGCTCTGAATTAGCCATTTGGCGATTTGGAAGCTTGGTGCCATTTTTCATCAATGGCAGTATGTTTCCAACGGGCTGGGGAGGAGGACGAAAAGAAAACCAGTGTTTGTTTTGACCAGAAGCCTACTTCAGGCCAACTTGACTCAAAGCACGGTAAGGTTAAGAGCCCATGCAGAGACAGCACGAACAGGCAATGTGAAGTTCAAAAGGGCAGGGGAAGGAACTCGGGGCAGCCTGGAGGGTGTGTTGTGCTGGTTTCTGGAGGTCGGTGCTCCGGCAGGAAGGGCAGAGCCCCATGAAGCAGGAGGCTGTGTCCGAGAAAATGATCCCATTGTGGTGCGCTGGGTTCTGATCTTCATTTTCAATCCTTTTTCCTCAAGCACATAAAGAAGCCAGACTATGTGACGACAGGCATTGTGCCCGGCTGGGGAGACAGCATAGAAGTTAAGAATGAAGATCAGATTCGAGGGCTTCGTCAGGCTTGTCAGCTGGCCCGTCATGTCCTCCTCCTGGCTGGGAACAGTTTAAAGGTGGCGTCTCACCAAGCCTCAGAAGGACTCACATACGAGACAACAAGCTCCCTCTTCTCTCTTTCCTACCCTCTCCCTTTAACCCTGCTTTTGTGCCCAGCTAATCTATTAAACATTAAGTCAGGAGGATGGAGGGAAAGGGGTTTTATAGCCTCATATGGTTACTCAAGAGTTGATGTGAAATCCACATTAAATTTTACATAGCAGAATTCTGGGGATGTGCTAGGCTGGCTCACCCTACCCAAGTTGATGGATGGCAGCCAACTTTGTCTTTTGACCCCATCCTCCTACCCAAGGTCTCTGCTTTCATTCACCGTGTCATTTCTGTGGGCCTGGAGAGTCACTCTGCCTTGTCTTCCATCTCCTGTTTGATCGCATTATCTCTGCAAAAAAAGCTCAGCCCAAGTACACAGAGCTATAGGTAGTTGAACCCCCTAATGCTGGACAACAGCCCTGCCGCGAGCTTTCGTTCTCTCACAACCATCTGGAATACCCCACTGCATAAAGCAGAGAAATGTGGCTGGTTATTAGGACGAAGGTGGGCAGAATTTAGGAAGTGAGACTCAAAGATGCGTTCTTGTAAGGTGTCATGTGTAGTAAATGTCTTAGAGAGAGACAACTAAGCTGAATGTCAGCCTACGTGAGTGCAAAGGAAATGATGGGGGGAAATACTGTTAATTTTTAACTAAAAAGCATTTCTTTTTATTTTAGATTTGGATGTGTATGTGTGTGCGTGTGTGCGTGCGTGTGTGATCCAAGTGGGTTCATAGAGAATAGCAGCCGTTTCGGGTTGTGCAGTAAATGGAGCACAACCCAGGCACAGTCTGCTGCAGAGTGGCGCTCTGGACTGCAGCCGATGGGAAAGAGCTAGAATTTTTTTTACGAGGTGCAGGTTTAAGGAGACTGTCTTCATGTTCTTTATGTTAATTTCCTTTTCGTTTGGAGGGTGGTGTACCTGCTAAACCAAAAAAATCAAATCTACTGACTTCAGGTCGATTCCAACTTATAGACATCTTGTAGGACAGAATAGAACTGCCCCATAGGGTTTCCAAGTCTGTACGTCTTTACGGAAACAGACTGCCATGGCTTTCTCCTGCAGAGTGGCTGGTGGGTTCGAACCTCTGACTTGTGGTTAGCAACTAAGTGCTTGCGCCACTGTGCCATCAGGGTTCCAGTACACCTCCTAAGGAAGGAGGGAAATATTTTAAAATTTAACTTACTTGTTTAGACACTAAAAATATAAAATTTAGTGAAAACCAAATTGCTACAAAACGTATCAGATTCCGTTTTTTAAATGATGATCTTTACTCACATGTCATTGCTGCAACACGCTTGTAAATATTTCCTTGAGAGACATTTGACTGACTTGGGGGTTGCCCATTTCTCAGGCTTCGGCATCTAAACTGAATACTTTTGGACATTAATGTATACCAGCCTCAGTTAGCCCAAGGTGCTGCCCTGGACGAAGAGGAAAGAATTTCCTAAGGACATGCTTCTGCCATCTGCCAGCTAAAAGGAGCCATGTCGCTTAATAAGGGCTCACCGATGATTTACAGAACCCTAGAGTCTGAAATTGTCTCTTCTAATAGCTAACAATACCATCATATATCCAAATGAATGTCCAAAAGCACAATTTAGGATTTTAACATTAATCATAATTAAGATATCCTCCACAAGTTACTGTAGTAAATTTATATACTCTGTTACCTAGACGTGTTTTTGCTCTAGGCATAGTCAATACATATAGAAAATGTCTTCAACTGTCGCTGTTAAATTTCTTTATTTAATATTTTAGGTTGACATGACAACTGAAGAGATAGATGCTCTTGTTCATCAGGAAATCATCAGTCATAATGCCTATCCCTCACCTCTAGGCTATGGAGGTTTTCCAAAATCTGTTTGTACCTCTGTAAACAACGTGCTATGTCATGGTATTCCTGACAGGTATTCATTTCTTAATAACATATCCTTCCTTTGAAAGTTAAGACATGCATGTAAGATTGAAACCCACCTGCAAATGTCTCAAGTTGTTTGTTAGGGGAAAGCAGACACTCTGAAGCACTCGGCTCCCAATGGACGTAACGCCACCATTTAATGTTTCTGAAAAAAGGCTGCTGTGCTAAATGTTGCTTTTACTGTCTTTGACTTTAGCCACACAAAGGGTAAAAATACAAATGTCGGCAAACACTGGTTGTCAACTACTCATTTGGCTCTTTGTGAATTTAAACAACTCATGAGCACATCTTTCATCCTTTTTTAAGAATAGATTTTCCTCAAGTAGAAGGAAGATGTTTTGGAAATGATGATGACAACATATGTACAAAAGTGCTTAATACAATGGAACGATGGATTGTTATAAGATTTTTAAGAGCTCCCCAATAAAATGACTAATCATAATTTTACAAAGCACAGGTTGTCACACAGTGGCAGTACTTTGTGCCATGCATCTCCTGTAAAACATGAATGTAATGAGCCAAAGTTCAGTGTGACGTCAGTACCCCGTTTCTTCCTCCTTCCTTCCAAATCATCGCATTGGGCTCTGGAATAGCGATTATTAGGCGCTTACTGTTTCACTCTTTTATTGAGATCTGTCTATCACCATTTTATTCCTTTTTTCTCCCCCCTCCCCCCTGTTTAGTCGACCTCTCCAGGATGGTGATATTATCAACATTGATGTCACGGTGAGTAAATCATATAAAAAGTAGCTTTTGATCAGCTTCCGAATCGCTGGTCGCGACGAGAGGCAGAGTCGATTGAAAATGGGAACGGCACGGTGGAAGTGCTGTTTACTTCTAGACCCCGACGCCAGCGGCTGGCTTCCTTTTTTTGTCTTTAGCTCTGTGTTTATTCCAAGTCAGCCCAGGCCTGCGTTGAATTTAGGGCTGGCATCAGATGCACTGAGATCAATGTTGGCCTAAGTGAAATGTCAACCCAATCCTGCTATGTGTCATGTTTTTGAGAAGGTGTAATTGTTATTGATCCACTGTGTAGTTAATGCAGAGCACCACAGCACTGGGCAGCTGCAGAGGCTAGATATGTATGAGATGAGCTAACGCGAAGAAAGCCAGCATTTTTCCTTCACTCTGCCAAGATTGATCTTCCTCTTCCTGCTGATTTTGAGTGGGGCCTGTCATTATCTTACTCTGTCATTAGGGGCTGCATTGGCCTGTGTGTGTCAGTCTATTTGGACAGCAACTCTTTTGCTAGCAGTGTTCCCTAGATTTATTAAAATCCTTGAAGGTAACGTTGTGTTCCATTTCTGGTATCGAAGCCTTGAACTCTGCACAGATAAGTGGAGCAGGGTTTTTCCTCTGTGAACTTAAGTTTACCCCAAATGGTTTATGGTCTTTCTTTTAAATAACAAGCTTAAGTAATTTCACATAGGAGCTTCACATTGGAGAAGCCCTAACCATTTCAAATTTTCTTGGCCTTTCATCTTACACCTTTCATCTTACACCTTCTCAAACGTGAATTGTCTGTGCTCAGGTAGTTAGCAGTATTATTATGTTTTAATTGGAATAATGCCTTAGGGGAGGTAGGTGAGAAATTGTATACATCTGTTGGTGAATAAATAACTTTTAAATAAAGAAATAAAATGTTAAGCACTGATGAGAACTGGCTATGCCAGAACACTCAAGGAATACAGTTTTCTTTCTTTTTTTTTTGTAGGCCTTGAGAGGTTTATTAACGTTATCCCTGCTTAATCACAGAAAGACCAAAAAAAAAAGCCTTCCTTACAGTTTTCATTAATGAGGAAATACTTTCAGTATGAAACTCCAGTAGGGTGGAGATGAGGAGTCTAGTAGGTGATTGTCAGTCAGATTTTCCATGGTTTAAAATAATCCAGCCTGTTTGCTTCGTAACCATTTGTGTGAGGATTCACACCAAAGATTCTTTTATTTCTGGTATTTCCTGTGTCATTTTGTCCTGCTTAGAATACTTGAGCATCTGCTCCATGTAGCTCCTGTTGGTATCTTTCCAACGTAGAATCACATAGAAGGAGGTATTGTATGAAGTTTACCTAAGATAAAGTCCCTCTCATAATATGCTTTTCTTTGGGATTGCACCTGATTTGGGGGTTTCCTATTTATTATCTCCCCAAATCACCTCCTAGTATTATATTGCTGCTGTGAATGCAGTCATCACACTCTCCTTCCCTCGTGCTTCCGCTGCGCTCAAAGCAACTGCTCTCTCCCTTTCTAAAGACGGCTAAGAACCGCTTCCATTTGTACATCCAGTGTGACTCCACAACCGCAGAGCTCATGGAAGCCAAGCGGAATGCTTCCAAGTGGCTAGAAAGTGAAGGCGTCGAGGAAACATATAGGTCAGTGTCTTAAATTGTATTTCTCAGGAAGCATTTGGTCAAATGAAGGCATTCTTTATTAGATCCTCTGCTTTCATCAGAAAAGACTCATTACACATTATAATTATTTACATCTGTTAGATGACCCAAGAAAATAGGCTTCTCTCCCCCTGAAAAGTCCAATGCTGCAAAAAAGACAGTGAATGTGAGGCCCAGTGGAGTTGCTCAATCAATATTTGATAAACAAATGAAGTAGGAAACAAGACTTGGTTGTGGGTACAACAGTAATTGTCGGTAATGGGCCCCCAGACTTTCAAAAGTATTGTATTTATATATATGTTGAATCTTTCCAGTAGTCAAGTAACAATATGAAGAGCCAAGTAGAGATTCTAGAAAACAACATTTTTTCCTTAAATAGCTACTATATCAATATTTAGTTACAAATTAAAATGTATACATTTACTCGTGTGCTAGCGGGTCTTCTGTGCTTGTAGGTAAAATGAAAGCTCCTGCTTTTCTAGACGTCAGAGGGCTGTGAATCGGCATACGCGTGTGAACTGCTACTCTACTGCAAGGCGATGAAGGCGATTTGATAGAAAACCTTCAACTTGAAGCTAATAATCCACAATATTAATCTAAATCTACCTCTATATTCTTCCACACATCTTGGATAAGTTACATGTTGGTGCCTCCATTTCTGGACTTGAAAAAGGAAGATAGAGTAATCAGAAAAATCAAAATTAACAAGTGTTGGTGAGAATGTGGAGAATTTGCAGCCCTTCTCCATGGCTGGTGGGAATGTCAAATGGTACTGCCGATGCTGAAAAGCAGTTGGTGGGGAAAAAAGAAAAGCTGATACCAAGGGCTCAAATAAAAAGTGAATGTTTAGAAAATAATAATGGCAACATATATACAAATATGCTCGATACAATTGCTGTATGGATTGTAATAAGAGTTGTAAGAGCCCCCAATAAAATGATCTTTAAAAACAAAAAAAAGCAGTTGGTGGTCCCTCAAAGAGTTAAGCCTGACCCCCGGCTGCTGTACCTCTCTGGTACATAGCCCAAAGACCCGAAAGGCCGCCCTTGATAATGGATGCTAGTGCACCTTTGCTCATAGCGCACTCTTCACAATAGTCAGCCTTCTAACGGTCTCCCTACATCTCCATCAACAGATGAATGGACAGATAAAAGGTCATCTACAGATACAGTGAAATCTTATTCCGCCATAAAGAGAAATGAAGCTCCACAGGAATGAACCCTGAAAATACTGTGCTAAGTAAAATAAGTCAGACACAAAAGGACAAATATTTTATGAGCCCATCTATTTGAAATATCTAGCATGGACACATAAAGTATGTTGTGGTCACCAGGGGCTGGGGTAGAGTCGTGAGGCATGATTGCTGACTGGTACTGAGTTTCTGTTTTGGGTAATGACAAAGTTTTGAGACTGGATCGTGGTCATGGTTGTAGAAGTATAATGTCACCAAATTGTGCACTTACACTGGTTAAGATGGCAAAGTTTGGGTTATACATATTTATACAACAACAACAACAACAAAAGGATGATAAAATAAACGCCTTCCCTACTTTTCTCATAGAACCTTTTAATTGTTTATATATTTAAGGTATTAAGTCAGTAGAAAAACAAACAATAAACTTATAAATAACAGTTTCTGCATTCCATGTCAAGAGAAAGAAAAATTATGAAAAATAAGTAGAAAGGAAGAATGAGTAAAACAGCAAATTGCATGCATGATACATCAAAGACTCACTGCTCAACCCATTCCCTCTGCCTTCTAAGTGTATTATCGTATGTGATAATCATTGCTTTTTATAACGACTCAGCTTCTTCATGCCAAGATCCTATGTGGCCCTTTGAAGCCATGAACACTGATGAAATTATGTTTTCTGTAACTGCACTCGCGACCTTGTTTGTTTGTTATATTCTAATTCTTTAAACCGTAATGCATGTTTTCTTTCAACACTCTGGTAAAGAATTTCTAGACACAGGATTTTTTTTTTTATAACGTATTTCATTTCTATATTAAACCACTTCAATTCTTGGAACTAAATTCTCCTAGTGCCTGTTTTAAAATGGACATGCCTGTCTTTCTTCTCATCATTCTAACTGACTTCCAAGTACAGCACTGGTAAATAAAAGAACTGCTAAACCTTCGTAACAATGAAGAAACATTTGACTATGTTAACTATTTCTTGGTTCCTCCAAAGCTCTCGTGGTAATTGTATGTCCCTATCTTTGGTTACAAATTTTTACATGTGTAGTACTGTCTGCTAGCAACTACCGTGAGGAATCAAAATGTTACAGTGGCATTGCTCATTATCATGCTGAAGTGGCATTACTCATTACCACACTAGGCATTATCTCTTTTTAACTCTTGGAGTATCCATGCATGGCTTCATCTTTTTAAGGCCGGCTCAGTTTCAGCATTTCCACATCCTCCTCTTCTTATAGGCAAACTGTAGAGTCATTCTGGGAGGATGAAACGCATAAATTTACTAAACATTTAAATGAACACAATATATTCTTCAGGTGAGTAGATTTTAGACAAGACATTGCCTTACAATTTCTCCCTGTGTTTAGGTCTATTACAATGGCTACCACGGCGACACCTCGGAAACATTTTTGGTGGGCAATGTGGATGAAGGTGGGAGAAAGTTAGTGGAGGTTGCCAGGAGATGTAGAGATGAAGCAATTGCAGTGTGCAGAGCAGGGGTTCCCTTCTCTGTAATTGGAAACACAATCAGGTAAGCCTTCCACTGACAAGTAAAGGGAGGGTTAGCAAATGGTACAAGGGTTATTGGCGGCTTGGTATAAAGTTGATGACATGTTTGTGATTCAGAACCATCGTTTCAGTCTGATGTCAGTATGTGAACTGCCAGGCTGCAATGCTGTTACCTGGGTTAAAAAAAAAAAGAGTTTTAAAAACATGAATGATAACAGGGTCAGCAAGGAATAGTTATATTGCCCCAGAGAATACTTATATGGATGCTTTACTTGTAGCTCAACATATTGGTCTGTAGTGTACTTTATTTGTGGGAATTACACCACGTCTGGATGAAAGGAGCTAGATAGCCCAACCTTTGGGTAATAAGACAGGGGAAAACAATTAAACATTTAACAAAGCAATTAAACAACATATATCCCTATGATTAAAAGGTTGAAAATGTTAGCTCAAGTAAGCCTTTATTTTCCAAATTAGTGTATGGACAAATAGTCTGAAAGAGTGATTTTTTTTTTTTTGCAAGCCATTGTGTACTTTTCAATTTCCATCCAGTATTCCACACTTGCTTCTTGGAAGTATGTGTAGTTTCTGAATTCAAGATTTCTCTTTGTCATCTGTTACCTACTTTGAGATTTCCACCGCCTGCCCCCACTCCCACCCCAGAAGTAGCCCTGCAGAGCGTGTGTTTTCATTTAAAAGTATGTAGCGTGCTCTATTCAGGGTGACCATACCAGTTCTCATTAATATGATCCATTGAATACTTCCCGTTTGCCTCAAGGATGGCAGGCTTAGTTACCTTGAAAAGATGCGACCTTTTCCCCCCTCCCCACCCTGTAAACCTTCAAATACTTAAAAAAAAAAAAGCAGTAAAATATCAGTTAAATGTATTTATAGCTTTAAAAATATTGTAACCATGTCTGAATCAAACTTTAGTAAAATCTCTTTGGGTTATATCTGAGAAGCTTTTATTGAAGACTTTGAACAAAATTGTGTTTTTGACAGTTTTAAATTATAGGCTAACTAGCCTGGGAAAAAAGGATAGTGTCTCTCTGTTCTTTCATAGGAAATGTTGAATCAGACCCCTACTGGGAAAAGAAATTTAATGCATATCTCACTATCTTACTGTCCATGAATATAATAGAAATGAATTCAAAATGCAGTTTTATTTTTGCAAATGGGATGAGTCGATAGATGCACCTCATATTTTTGAACACCTAGGGTTCAACAAATTTACTAGTGGTGCTCTTGCATTTTAACAAAATGTATTCTTCAGTGGAAGGGGCAGAGAACACTGGATTCTTATTCAAGCATTCTCTCGAGCTCTACATTCATGGCTGTGTCTAAAGGGCATGTCAGCCTTTGATTCTCTCGGAGAGGTAATTATCCTTTTCCTGTCACGGAACAACAAATGATAGCTAACTACAGAGGCACATTTGCAGTAGTCACATTCATCAACTGCAGGAAAAAAAAAATTCAATTTAATTGTGCAACACAGCTGCACATGGGCTTTTGAGCATTTCTGTTGTTCTCCCTGTCTCGCTATTCCTCCCTCCAGATCTATTTTTTAAACTTTTTTTTCTGGTTATTTTTTCCCCCTTTTTTTGTCTCTTCTTCCATTTTTACTCTCTGTACTTTCTTGTTAAAGTAATTTTCCTTTGTGGCTCTCATTCTTTTTTCCCCATTGAAGGCTATGAATGTAGAAAATTATCACAATTACTCATATAATTGAGCCTCTTTGTAGCAAGTGCAACTCCAGTAGCCTTTCTCCATCATGAAAATGGTTTCATTATAGGGTTTTTCATATTCTCTGACACCATCTCCACAGAGGAACAGGCGTGCAGATGAGATGTACCAGGAACAGGCCGGATCAGTAAGGTCACAGTGGGAATAATTAGCTCTGCTAGGGAAAGAGCATCCAGGCCTTTTACTGCTACATAAATGTACTGTCCGTGGCTTTTAGTCACAAAAAAACTTACTAACAAATGGAGCTCCCGCCTACTACTTTGAAAAAAAGATTTGTATCAACACTACAATTTTCCATCATTAAGACTAATAACACAGAGCCTCGTATACATCAAGGGGAATAAAAAGAAAAATCTCACATTCAAGTGGCGGCTGGGTGCTGACCTTTGTTCCCTTTTTTTGTGTACGACTTAACTCTTTACAAAAAGGAGCCACACGCCACACCAACACGCAGGTGAACTCCAGCTAGTCCCAGCAAAGCTCAGCATTCAGCCGGGACGTCTGATCAAACTCCACGCAGGATAATGCATTTCATTACATAGTCACTGCATTAATTCTGGCCACATAAAGAAGAAGAGTAGAATTGAAAGTGACATTGGATTTTAGTTATCTGGATGCAAGGTCGGTGTTCATAGAGTACGAATTTGCATGTCCACACTCCTTTGAAAACCTGATCAGAACCAAGAACTGCACTTAGGAAACTACGTGGAACAGAATAGACAATGGAGCTTTTCCTTTCCCCTCAGAACGTTTCATTATCGAGGTGGTGTGTGCCTGCCACCGAGAATGAAACTGCCCTGAATCTAACAAATGTTTGTCCCGAGATGTTAGCAGCAAGTACTGCTGGACATCTGTTATTTGGCATTTTCCTGTTCAGGCCAGATCTTAAAGGAGTAAATAAACAAACGCTCTGCCACCTTGAAGCCAGGGGACTCAGAATCATTAAAAACGGAGGGGTGACAAACACTGTCTCACGATGCTCATCGTCTTCTCCGTAGCCTCTCCCTGGTGATGCACAGCCTGAAAAGAACATGCAGGCATCAGTTGCTGGCTCATTATGTTGCCAGAAACCTAGAGAGCTGTACAGTGAAATTGTGAAATCCTCCCCTGGAACCTGAACGATAAGCACGATGTCCCCTGGAGAAATGTCGGCAATACACTAGCTTCCTGCACACAGTTGCCTGTGTGCCCTTTTGCTTTGCGAGGGTGCCCTCCATCTCCAGATCACAGTGTGGTTGTGTGCACTTACACCTCCACGTGCTCTCAAATCTTTCTAAATCTGTACTTTTGTAATTATCTCTAGATGATATGATTTGTACATAGGAGAACGCTGTGGATGGGGAGATTCACGCATCACAAGTGGGTGACAGTTCCTTCAGAAATAATTTAAACTTATCGCTGAGAAGATCATGATGAAAGTATCAATAAATGGTTTTTAATGTTTAATTCATAAGTATATGTTTTGATATTAATTTAGAACAATATAAAGTCGTTTTTTTCAAAAAATAATCTCTATTAGATTATGCACATTTAAACAATAAGTGGCGCAGGCAAAATAAGTCATTTTAATGTCATCTGTGATGGATTTTTCATGACAGCTACTGTAAATTACAATTACACGGCTTCTCTGTGCGCATGAAAGTAAGCATTGCAATAAATTATCTTTTATTTCAATCCATCATGTCTGCTTTTCAGAAACAGAAAACCTTAAATAAAAGTTCAGCACGATTGTGAGAAAAATAAAACAGTAATTTTTTGGATCCAGTTTGAAACAAGAAATACATGCCATTCTTTTTGGAAGACAGTCGTTGGCTTTCCAAAATATTACTAATTGTACTCAAACATTCCTTGCCATTAGAGGGAATCCTGAATTTGTGAATTCCTTTAGTCAAGAGCTATTGCTTCAAAGAAAAACCCGCGAACTTAAGGTGAGGCTCCACAACTTCGAAGGTCAGGGGTCCCCGGAGATTCTTTCATGAGCGGGCTCTCCATTTGGAGATCCGTGTGAAAGCCATAGCCCAACTCCTTCCCTGTGCGCTCTCACTTCTGAGTATGCACTTAAATAACAGTCCTCCCTGCCCACCTGGAGAGCATGTTCTTAGTCATAAAAATGTAATCGAAGTGTATCAGGTAATTTAATTTTGCTAAAGATTTCAATTGAATCCAACTGTCTCAGGAAAGGGAATTCCATGAAAGAAAATGGTCCTTGGAGAGATCGAAGAAATTGGTCACAGGATAAAATTTCTTAAGAGGTATTTGTTTCTTTCAACTGTACATATGACCGGAGCACACATTATAATACAGCATAATTTATGAGTTAGTTTACAAACTATCTCTGAACCTACTCCCCCTCTTCTTCCGTCTTCCGGAAATATCCTGTCTGAAGGGCTTCAGGTCATTCAGGCTCACGGGTGGGTGCTATACTGTCCTAGAGAATTTTTAGCTGAGAAAATCAGGCCAGAAGAGTTTATCTCCAAAGAGCCCTTTTTCAGTAGGTTTCCACAGAAAGAGGGCAGCCTTCACCAATGAAAGGTTCAGAGCAAGAAGACCACATTGTGCACCTCCTGCCAAGTGTAGGGAGCCACCCTGTAGCACTTACGGGCTGCCTGCCCGCTCCGCTGCTCCCATTTTCCCCAACAGCCCATCAAGAGGGGCACACGTGCCCTAGCTTTCCATGCCACAAGTCATGTTGCCAATACTTGTGAGTGTCAGAGGAGTGGAATTTGTGTCCCCCGCGTCTTGAAGAAAGATTTAAACCCTAATCGTGTGCCCCGGAGTGTCCCAAAATAGTAGAAGGAGCATGACCTGAAGCCGTCTTTAGGAACATTCAGGAGACCTTCTCCCTTTCAGTTCCAGTAAAGATGTGCTGAAAAGACGAACTACCAATCCCAAAGGAAAATGCCCCATGAAGCAGACAAATGTATACTTAGCTTCGGGGACTCAAACACTGAGATGGGCAGATGGTGCTCAATCAGGGAACGAAGGGAATTGTGTCCTGTGTTTTCCCTTCTTCCACCCAACTGGGAAGTCCCCTGACCTTTGCAGCCACGACCCACACATTCTATGACGCTCCTATAACCAGAAGTTCCAGCAGGAGCCAAGGAACAAATTGTGGAAGGAGAAGGCACTGGGGCATCTTTAGCCAGCTCCTTAACTGCACAGCTTGTTTCATGAAGAGGAATGCTGCAGGGGGAGGGGCAGTGTTGCTCAGAGTGGGCTGCTTCTCACATCCGCAATGGAAATGAAGGTTGTTATTGTAACAAACATTTGAAGATGTAGGTGTGATGCCTGCCAATCTGTGAGATCCTTAATAATGATAATTTTTTTAAAAGGACAATTTTGCTTTTTGTTTAAAGGAAAAGCAAATAGGAGAACAATTTACATTGAATGTTCTTTGAATCATTGGGGTTTGTGGGGATTGAAGTAACGTAATGTCTAGTTTGGGTAGAACCCATTCTTGTGGAGGCAAAAAGTATAGATTGTGTCTTACTAGTACGTCTTCCACCTCCACCTTCTTCTCCCCCGTGCTTCATCATCAGACACGGTGCAAAATGGCTTGGAGAAGGCGCTGCCCCTCTTACCCAAAGTGCCAAGACCCACAGAAATAACCAGACAGGCCACCTTAAGAGAGAAAATCCCTGTCCCCAAACAGATGCAGAATTCACCTATTTCTGCATCATGGCAAGTACATCCGAATGACAGCTCAGCTGCTGGTTAGAGTGACATCCTCGTTTAACCGACAATATTTCACGGGTCTGAAGATGAAGATTTTAAATACTTAGAGAAAAATACATAGACATGAGGACTTACAAAGATGCTGGCTAAAAGCAATTGAGTATGACGAAGTCTGGAATCTACTAGAAACTCTAGTTTGGGATCTGAGAACTTTTGGTTTTTGCTAAGAATTAAAATAGTAGTCCTATGAATCCCAAGTTGTTATGGGTTAGGGTTAGAGGCGATATGCCATTGATGCCCATGAAAATAGAAGGTGTTGAAATGGCTGACCCACATCTATGTTCTTATATTTTTACTGTTGCCAGAAATAAGCATAGTCACCTGATCTCAAAAGCAGTTTTCTAACTTTGTATGTGCAGATTTCAAGGTCAGACTCTGCTAGATTTCATTTGTACCAGGCAGGTAGAACACAAACCGTTTGCATACTGAAATCATCAATGAAGCAAGAAGATTTGGAAATCACAACACCAGCTTCTCTTAGTAGCATAGTGATTCAAATGTATTTTAAAATAAATTTTGGAAGTGGTGTAGGTCTTGAGTAGAACTCCTGAATGCTCACAAAGTTCTTAGAGTCTCCAGAACACCGGCAAAGCTGATTGGCCCTTTTGTGTGAGTGCCTATTTGTAAAATGTACAAGGTTTTGAAATAAATTGGATCAACGTGAACCATAGAGTAGGACGTCACATTTTTAGATAGTATTTTCCCCCTCTGTTTGGCTCCCAAGTCAGTTGTAATTTGCCTTTTGTGAAAGGCCTAAAAAAATTAGAGAGGTTTTTATGACCTGCACAGTATGCACATGGTTCTTAGTTACGTACAGTCCGTCTCATAAGTGCGGACACACACATTTGTTGGCTACGAGTACCTTTGTACGAATGCTGTGCTAAGATAAATGAAGCCAATTACTGTTAGATACATACCTTCCATCTAGTGTCATATAGCCAAAGGATGTTAAAAACGATAGCAAAAATAGAATTATTCCTGAACAGTGAAATATTTTTAACACATATTTCTTTGAGGTACAAAATAGTCTTCGCTCCATCACACACAGGTACTTTGGTCCCCAGTCCCCCCAAAATCTACTAGTTTTACAGATTGAAAACAGACTGATACTTTCTGACTAAATACATCTGATTTTTTTTCCAAAGATTTTTTTTTTAAATCACAAACAAAAGAGTTACTGTAAAATGTCTTACCCCATTCTTTCTATGGCACGCTGTTGTCTTCCTAGATGGCTTTTCTGGGTAAAATTTTTCCCCACAAGTGAATTTAGGTAAAGTATAAGCAATTATCAGTTATACGTTGTTTTCATTTAATAATACTTTATTGTAGTCGGTGAAAGTTTACAAAGCAAAATTGTTCCCTGTTTTACAGTTCCCTTTCTACCACTTGCCCCATGCCATTGGTGGCAGCATGTCAGCATCGTCATCATGTCCGTTCTCTTTGTTGCTCCCGTTGCACTGGGTTCCCTGTCCCTCCTGACCTGGCCCCTTTTATTTTGGGTGAATGTTGAGGATTCAGTCTCATTTTCATTGTCTGATAGAGCACGGGTGAAACTGTTTATTTTGTAAACCAACCTACCATTTGACTGAAGGTGACCCGGTGAGAGAACTTCAATGCCAAGCTCAAAGGCTATTTTAGAGCCCTAGTCTTGGGGGTTCCACTAGTCTCTATCAGTGCAGCAGATGTGACCTCTTAAAGGAATGTGAGTTGTTTGTTCTACATTTTCCTTCCATTCGACCCAGGACCTCCTTTTGTGTCCCTGGTCAGAATGCTGGGCATTGGTAGCTGGGCACCACCTAGTTCTTCTGATCTCAGGTTTGAAAAGGTTGTAGATTGTAGCTCATCGAAACTGTTAGTGCTGTGGACTGATCATGCTCTGTTGCTCTGTCTGGATAGAGACCAGTAGTTGTACCTTGTAGCTCAAAGAATATTTTCAAAGTGCCTGCTTTATCCAAATCTGCTTTAAAGACATCTGAATTAATTTTTTTTTGTTTGGTCACTTTTAAAGCCACATAACACTTCAGAATGGTTTGCAAGTCTGTCCTCATTTCGTTGGACATGGAATAGGATCTTACTTTCATGGACATCCAGAAATTTGGCATCATGGTAAGCAAGTTAATGTGGGGAACTGTTTGTTGAACGGAGTCAGTCGGGCTAGAATAGTTTTGCCCCAGAGGCTCTTCCTCTAGCTTTGTGTTCACATTATTGTTATTATTATTATTGGTGGAGGGATGAGGACGACACGAATATGACCTATTTAATCTTAACCAACACATTACTACCGTGCTAGGTTAGAACCCAGCAGTTTCAGCCCCCAAATAAGATTTTGTTTTTTGGCTTCTCATGAAGGGTGCATAGCTGGAAAGCAGAAGGGACATTGTCTAGAAGAAGTTACTGAAAACAAAACAGCCCTGCATCAATGCCCCAGCAGCATGCACATATGACTATTTTCTGTTTGTCTTTTTCTTCTCCCTTTTGTAACCACTGACTGTTGTGGTTAAACTTCATTACATCCTACACAGCGTTGACAGATGATGTATTTAGCAGCATGTACTCTTTAGTGATTTCTGGATTAGACCCACCCTTGCGTTCCTTCCTTGTTTTCCACTGCCTGGGTGTGCACCCCTACAGGGAGAAGGCAAAAGTGAGCCGGAGGAGGGGTGGGGGGAGCAGGGGGTTTCAGTCCCCTTAGCAGCTGCCAGGACCTATGCAGGACACTGGGCCTGGACCTGTGGGCTTGGGTAGCCATTTCTCTTAACAGACTCATCTGTTGGTGGCAGGGAGGCAGTCCAGGGAACTACTACCTAGAATACACCCTGGAGGGTCCCTGGAGACCAGCAGGTCAAAACTCCCATCAAGCCTTGGTCCCACCTGAGGTCTGTGCCAGATGGGCCTGCAGACGCTGCTTCCCCCCTCCAGCCCCAAAGCACCAGCATACTTCAGCCTTTGCAGACCCACACTCTCTTGGGAAACCTGACATCTGTCTTTTTGGGGTAGGGGTGAAGGTGGTGAGGTCTGGGCAGGACTGAGGACCCCAGGAGGCCATGTGCAGGTGGAGGGAGGGGCAAGCCTGACAGGTGTCTGAAACACCTGGAGTGCTCTTGGGAGCCTTGCTGGGCCCCTGGGCCCAGTGTGTGTGTGACCCCTTACACAGCCAAGCAGCAGCCGAGGCCCAGGAGCTCTGTGCAAGTCCCCAATGGTGTCCACCACCCAGAACTCCAAGTGTTCCCCCTCCCACTTTCACCCCAAAGAGAAGAAATAAAATGCCAAGTTTTTAAATGGGCCCCTATCCCATTCTGTTCTGTCTCTTGATTTCCTCCCACTCTTTTTGCAGCGAACAACAGCGACCTGCTCATGGAGGAGGGCATGGCGTTTACCATAGGTCAGTGCCCGCCCGGGTTGCCTCATCCCAGCTGGCGCCTCTAGTGGAAGTGGTGGCATGCTGGTCCAGGCCAGGCAGCCCCATGAAGGACTAACAAACCAATCAACTTAATTAAATAATTCAGATGTGTGGTAAATCTGATTAGACGCTCGCCTCCAGCCCATCTTCCTCAATCAGATACTTATGGACACATTTGGGAGAGGGCAGTTGTCCAACCTCTTGCCAGCATTATGTGGTGGTTTTGTTTTCGCTTTGGTGCCTACTGCCCTCCACCCCCTTCATGCCCCATAACTGGGGGTGGGGTGGTGATTGTGCCCCTTGCTCCCTGTCAGCAAGTGGCATGTGCTCTCTTGCGGCTGCTCCTGGCTGGTGGAGTGATTGGTGTCACCTCCAGATCCCAATCACCCACTGGCAGGAAGGTACCGTATTTCTGACTGTGGGACTTAATGGAGAAGCAATTAGAGTGAAATAAGAAAATTATTATTTGCTGATTAATGAACATTTTGAGCGTGTTTTAAAAATTCAAATATCTTTTTTAACTGGCTGGTATTTATAAGAGGGGCTGGTGTTTGGGTGGTTCTTATCCACAGGGTCCTAATTAAGGCTTGATTAAAATGCCCTTCTTTCTCTAAAAAATTACGAAGTAGGCAACTTCATACATTTTTGAACGCCGTAGCGTTTCCTCTTCCTACTGTTTCGTTTGTGGTGTACTGTGTAAGCAACATCAATTATCAGCCCTTACCAGATGACAACATGAACCCGTGGGGGAATTACAAGGCGTGGGGGGCGAACCTTCTTACTCTCTCTTTTTTTGATAATCAACCGAAATAATGTTTGACAAGAATCTGATGAGGTCACTGCAGTAAATATTTTCCCTCTTCCAGAGCCAATCATCACCGAGGGATCCCCTGAATTTAAAGTCCTGGAAGATGCGTGGACTGCAGTCTCCCTGGACGATCAAAGGTGTTTGCTTTCTGCCCAGTTACTTTTCAATTGTCTGTGGAGGAAAAGTTTCCCACCCCCACCCCCACCTCCCTCCCCGCGGGGCTGCGTGCACCCTAACCACGCCGCCCCGTGTGCTTGTGTGTGTGTGTGTGTGTGTGTGTTTTGCAGGGCCGCCCAATTCGAGCACACCGTTCTCATCACGTCGGGCGGCACGCAGATCCTGACCAAATTGCCCCAGGAGGCCTGAGGCCCAAAAGACAGGGTCACCGGACGCCTTCGTCCGTAAGTGTTCGAAATCCGGTTGGAGAATTTCTCAGAAGACTGGCGATCGATCGGCAGCTAGCGCCTAATAAACGTCTCTTCTCTTCAAAATACACGGTAGAGATTAGGGACCGCTGGGGACGCAGCGCTGCCGCCCAGCCCGGGCTGCGCGAGGACGAGGGGACCCCTTCTTGGGAGATCAGGGGCTTCTCTTGTCCTAACCGCCAAAGTAAAAACACCATTGCCCTCTCCAACCCATTGACTGCACTCTTTTCGTCGGTGACAGTGATTTGGGGGAAAGATGGGGGCTTAAGATTTGAGTTTGAACTTTTCACGCAGGACCGCCAATCGAAGGAAACACCCAGGTCTCCCTGTTGGCTGGGATTTTTTAAAAAGTACTCGCCCCCTCTTGGGGCGCCCTTGTCGGCCGACCTCGGGGGTGCTCTTGGGGTCAGCGCCTGTCCGCCAGCACTTCCGTGCAGGCTCCCTCCCCTCTCGCTCACAAACGGGGGTGTGGGTTACAAACTGCGCCTTTTGGCCGGCGCCCTAGAGCTTGGTGCTTCTCCGGGGACTGTAGGGGCGGGGTGGCCCCAGGCGCCCTCCTTCAGCAGCCACCCCAAGCCATCCAGAAGTTAAATGTAACCCTCCGCCCGCCCCTCAGGAGGGCCCAGAAGTGAACAGCATCCGGCCCCCACTTGGCCAGCAGTCAAGCTGGCTAGCCCTGGAACTGACCCCCTCCCCTCGTGACCTGCCATTGGGGCGCAAAGGCCTGATTTTCTGGAGACCCAGGGGGTCCTCGTGAGAGGAGGCCACGGGCTCTTCGGAGGGCAAAGGCCCAACTGGCTGGGGCTGGAACTGGTGGCTTTCAGGGCAGCTCCAACCCTCTTCGGGAGCAGGAAACCCGTGAGCTCACCCCCTGCACCCCAGGGCCAGCTTCCTCCTGGCCGCGCCCTCCTGGACCAGTTCACACCCTGGCGCAGCGCTGGGAAGGAGCCCACCTTCCGAAGAAGTGTCCCTCTTGGTGTTGGGACCAAGTACAGTGAGAGTGGCCCGTGCCCTCGGAGGTGAAGTGAACTTTTCATTTCTATTGAAGCGGGTTTCGCAAAGTCGCCATCCGCTAACAATACAGCTTGGGGCCCGAGCGCCAAGGAAACCCGGGCACCTGTAGCTGCCCTGACAGGTGGCGTCGGTGACCCGAGACCAGAGAGCCTGCTCAACTTCAGGACAGAATGGTGGGGAATTGAGACCAAGGAGCGCGCTCGGGAAAGTAGCGAGTTCGAGCTTTACCCTGAACTCCGGACTTTGCGGAGCAGTTCCCAAACTCCTGCTCGGTTTATCTACATGGAAGAATATAGAGTTTGGGCCCAGGCCATTCCAAGTGTAAAGGGGCTAAGAGCTGGAAACGATGAGGAAGAAGTTGGGAATTTACAAGGACCATTGAGAAAGCTTTAGGGTGCTCAGGAGATAACCAAGACCTTGGGATGGACTGGGGGCTGCCAATGGGAACCCTAGGGAGTCATTAGAGGGAAAGGGCCCGGCTGGCTCGGCGGGGAATGACGTCGCTTTCCTCCTGGAGCAGTGGGATTGCAAGGGCTGGCGCTGTTCATTTATCTGCAGATCGGTTCCCTTTGAGGTTCCCCTAGAACAAATCCGCTAAAACCACAGCCTTTTACGACCTCAGAGTAGCACACCGCTCCTACTGCAACTATCCCTAGTTTGGGATATTTACAGAACACATTTGTAATCCCATTTATTAAAGTAGCTAGTAACTTTAGACGTATTTATGTCACTCATATTTAGACATATACGTTTAAACATATTTTCATCCCTGGTGGTGCAGTGGTTTAAGCGCTCCTGGACTAAGCGAAATGTAGGCGGTTACAACCCTCACCAGCATCTGCTTTCGTAAAGATGGACAGCTTTGGAAACCCTTGGGTGCAGTTACACTTTGTGCTATCGGGTCATTTGGCGTGGGAATCATCACAACAGCAACAGCGTTGAGGTTTGCATGAGAATTTTTGGTAGCATACACGCCGCACACACCCACCACCACTACCATCACCAGCAGCAGGCAATACGCAACAACAGGAAACAAACTTGAAGTCGAATGAACTCCGTTTAACACGCTTTGAGTTTGAAATTAGGAAGCAGATTTTTAAAGGCCTGCTGCACACCTGCCGCCCCCTCTGCCCGCTGAACTGGCCCCAAGCCTCACCCTGGGGCTTTTGGTTTCACCACCAGGCACAGGTCCTGGGAAGTATCTCCGTCCTCAGTTTTACCCCGAACTCGCCGCTCCCTGCGTAAGAGGGAGAGGAGTTTTGTTTCCTCTCCCTTGGGACAGGCAGAGGTCCAAGCACACCGGCATTTCAGAACAGGTGTCATCCACTGGAATTGGGGAGGGGGTGTTGTTAATCCTCTCTGGGGACTTGGCAGAGAGAGAAGATCGCAGTGGGAGAAGTGAGCCTATGCTAGGTAACTTGGCACCCCGGGGGCACCCGCTCAGCGCCCCTCTCCAGACGTGCTTCTTTGGAGCTTAGAAAGAATTCGAGAGTGTATACACTCTCTTGCTCACATACAATTCACTTCTAAAACAAGCATTACGGAAACTATCCTGAGGGAGTGCATACACCGTTCAGGCAGCCGGGTCCCTCGAGACGCGAAAGACTTGGACACCCCTTCCCGACGTGGGGAGACCAAGGGGGCCCGCCCAGAGACGATCTCTGAGTGTGGCTACTCACGCCCAACCCCACCCCAACTTCAGTACTCCGGAATCGACTAGCCCTGAACCGCTCGGCACTGCGGTTTCCTCCCGCGTCCCGCTGCGGCCCACCGCCCCACGGTCCCTGGAGTCACCAGCCCGGCCGGGCCCCAGTCCCGCGCCCGCGCCCGCCGCCGGGATCACTTACGTGGGCAGGGCCGAGAGGAGCGCAGGAAGACCGGGGCCCGGATGGCATCGGCCAGGCTGGGCAGGGCGCACCGCACAGCACTCCACACCCCCAGACAGGCGCTGGGAAGGAGCAATTAAAACCACACGTGCGACCAGGAAATCAGGACTAGCGGAGAGGCTCCCGGGGTTGTCTGGTGGCGAAGTCATTAGTTGGTTGTTTCTACAAAGCCTCGCAGTGTGGTTCGATGATTAAGGGGGGTGAAAAACATTCTTTGAAACATTGGCAAACCCGTTATTGGTTTGGAAGATTATTTTGTTTTGCTTTTGCTTTTGTTTGGCTTTTCGCTCCAACCACCACGCCGCCTGCCTGAAGGATTTCTGTCCCCAGCATCGCGCCCTAAAGCCAAAGAGGGATTCTGTGGGCAGCAGCTGCTGCTACCGAAGTTAAAACAGAGAGAAGCCCCCTCCACTAATATCTATAACGACAGCACCGATGTCATTTGTTTTGAATGCTCATTTTTATTGGTGTTCCCTCTCTGCCAAAATGTGCTTGATTACAGAGGTCTGTGCTGTGATCACTGCGCTCTGCAGACAGGGGAAGGTGCTGTAGTGAAGGTTCAGCTCAGGCCAGATCAAATCCCGGGCTGTTTAACGCTGAAAGGCTGCATGTTGCTATTAGTGTTAAATATATGGCTAATTATGCGTATGAAAATTAAACATCAGTGTTATGCTAATGGGGAGCCTTCAGCTGCGGATCCGAGCACTTGAGACTACCATTTAATCAAATGAATCAGTAACTAATACATCTGCACGTGTGAACTTTCACAAGATCATTTCCCTGTTCCCGTCACACCGCTAAATTATGAAAGAAATAATTATCAACACTTTCTAATTACCTAACAAAGTAATTTGGGATTCACCGTGGGGCTGGCGGGATGGGGAACCAGCAGCCCTGGGCAGGCAGCGTGGCGCGC